AGTTAGTATAGATAGTTAGTAGAGATAGTATAGATAGTTACTGTAGATAGTTAGTATAGATAGTTAGTGTAGACAGTTAGTATAGATAGTTAGTATAGATAGTATAGATAGTTACTGTAGATAGTTAGCATAGATAGTTAGTGTAGACAGTTAGTATAGATAGTTAGTAGAGATAGTATAGATAGTTACTGTAGATAGTTAGTGTTAGATCGTTAGTATAGATAGTTAGTGTAGATAGTATAGATAGTTAGTATAGATCGTTAGTATAGATAGTATAGATAGTTTGTATAGATAGTGTAGATAGTATAGACAGTTAGTATAGACAGTTAGTATAGACAGTTAGTATAGACAGATAGGATAGGGGAGATAGGGGTCAAGACTAGATAGTAAAGGGATTCATACAGGGCAGATGTGATCAAGGCGCTTTGGAAGCAAGCAACGGAATCAGTAGAGATACAAGATTATTATGGCTTGGAGAGAACGAGGCACCTGGATGTAACCAGAGGGTCTGGCCGGCTGACTAAACTCAGAGGAAAGGCAAGACAGACATATAACAAGTTTGTGACCAGTACCATCAGTATTAAGACTCTGCGCTGGCTGCTAAACATGAGCACAGAGCACGCATGGGAATGTCCTTGAGTACTGTGATGTCAGTTCTGGACTCAACTCAGCTCAACGAATTAACCCATCCACACTCGACTACAGGTTACCTTGAAACGGTTTGTGTGGCCCAATGTAACTGTGTTGTATGAATACCTATTGGACAGCTTAGAAGAGCAACCTAGATGTTTTGAAAGAGGCGAGTGCTCGAAGACAACGTATCACAAATATCAGACAGAGACAGCCATATTTTTTTACCCTTTTTTTGGGGTCATGTTATGAGAAGAGGAAAAATGAAACATGTTGTGACCACTGGAGAGATTTGTGGAAAGAGTGACAGAGGAAGGCAGAGCGAGAAGTTTTTGACAACCATTTGTCTTAGCATGGAGGAGTGCCAACACACGAACTTAAACGCGTTGTTTTAGGGATCGCAGATAGGGGAGAGTCAAGATCGTCGGCTGTGCTCTTGTTTATTCTTTAATATAAAAAATAGCAGTAATTCTACTTAGTTTATGTATCCTTGTCTGGAAGAATTTCACTATTTAACAGGCACAATTGCCATAATCAATAATTCTACAACTTCACTTTAACTTCATCTACTGAAGGCTGCTACCTTGACTCTACATAATATACTACTTCTTTTTACATATCAGCACTTGCTATTCAGTGGCTTGTCGCGGTGGCATCTTGTAGTACTCAAGATGTATGATATATAAATATACATAGTCTCTATTATACGTGGGACTTCACATCTAGTTACTAAAACATTTCTGCAACCATGGTGGTCGCCTACAGCGTCCGGAGGACTCTATATGATTGGAGCATTGCCGACTGTCTCGTGTCGCAATGTGCAGTCAGTTAAATAGTTCTCCCCGTTGCTAGGTGCAGTTGCTAACAACACAGACAAATTATGGGGCCTGTTTTCAGTTATCTTGCAAACACATTGTCTGTCCTGATAGTCTACTGATTAGACTTATGACATGTGATTGAACTGTTTATCCTGATCCGCTAAACAATAATAGGTCACAGTTACTTTACATTAGTCTTCCAAAACATGGTGTGTTTACTGGACGTGTGGACATAAATTGAATTCATTTAGATACAATAAACGTGTGGCTCTGTAGAGACACTTTTAGTCTGGCAACGTTATTCTGTTCTATTGTCTCGTAATCACTTACTTCATTACGCACAAGGCCATCCACCGCTAGTTCATATCAGACACAGCTGCCACATTACGACACACACACACACATCGTGATTGTTACTGACTAAGAAAGCATGCTGAGGAAGATCAGGACAGACATGCTCTGTGCAAATTGCCATGCCTCGCTGCGGAGGACACGGGTGAGGAGTATTGTCTGAATATTTTCACCAGGGTAGGCCGGTGTGTTCAAATGTTCCAGCATGTGATCCTGTCGGTGATTGATTATGGACTTGACATGCTTACCATATCAAAGAGTCAGCTGATGAAACTTGAGCGCATACGGAATGAAGCCATGCGGGTGATTCTGGGATGTACAAGAGATACCCCGGTAGTATGTATGCGATATATACTTGCACTGTCTAATATTGCAGATAGATTCTAAGTTTTGGAGGCAAAGTCCTATCTCAGAGTAGCTGCGGACAAGAGGCACCTACTGCATGAAGCCCTGATAGAGCTTAGGGTCACAGATTGAAAAGAGGAAAGTCTTGGATGGCGCAAGCTGAAGACACAATTCGACATGTGTGCATGCTTTATAAATTTAGGCGAGGAGAAGAGTGGGTTAGAGTGACCAATCATGTTTCCGACTTGTGTAGGGTTCTAATCACTTTGGGACGTGAGTGCAGGGACTGGCCAGCTGGTGCTGCAGAATCATAAGTTCAACAAAGGATTCATGACAATTCCCGCCCAAGTGATGTGATTGTATATACATATAGCTCTGTGGTGAAGGGCAAACGAAGCGCTTGGGGGTTCAATGGACGTCGCTTAGCACAACAAAGCTTGGCATATGATATCACAACGTCTAGTTTGAGAATGGAGGTGGGGGCAGTCACTGCTGCCTTCCGTTGGCTTGAGAATCTGCTGTACACACATGTGGCCATTGTAACTGACTCACAGAGCATGCGGAGAAAGCGAGAGACAGGCATGCTTCGTGCAGAGTGGCAAGCATCACTTCAGAGGTCCCAGGTAGTTAGCATCCTTTGGATATTTTCTCCAGGTCACGCCGGTGTGTTGGGAAATGAGCAGGCGGATAGACTAGCCGGTTCTGCACCACTTGGTGGTGAACTGATGTATGACAAGCTGGATGTTGTGAGGACCCTTTGGAGCGAGTGAACAGTGCCGAGAAACAGATAGATCATTACGGTCTGAGAAGAATGGCACTGGGAAGAGTTACTAGGGGATCTGGCCGACGCTCGAAACTCGGGGGAGGGTCGATACAGATATACAATCAAACTGTTACTGGTATTATCGGAATTTTAACTCTGGGCTTGCTGCTGAAGATGGGGACAGAGCGCTTGTGGGAGTGTCCCGAGTGCTGTGAGGCCGATTCCTAAGTCAACATTTAACATTCAACATTCGCAGGTGTGTTGGGAAATAAACAGGCGGACAGACTGGCTGGCTCTGCACAACTTGGTGGAGTACTAGTGCATAATGGGGCAGACGTGGTTAGTGCCTTGTGGGAGAGCGTGTACAGTCCAGAGGAGCAGATGGATCACCACAGTCTGGTGAGATTGATGCAGTGGGGAGTGACGGGAGATTCTGGCAGATGTTCGAGGCTCAGAGGAAAGGCAAGAGGGACGTTTAATCAGAATGCTATTGGCACCGTTAGCATCGGAACTCTTCGCTGACTGCTAAAGATGGGGACGAGCGCTTATGGGAATGCCCCGTGTGCTGTGATATCGGTTCTTCAATCAAATCAAATCAATCAGATCAGACACAAATTCCTGTAAAAACATTACTTGGGTAAACAAACCTACTTTTTCGTACACTAATGTTTTGTAAGCGAACATTTTGTAAGTTATGCTTCCGGTGGTTCTTGGTAATAAAGCGGTATGCCTGTCTACGAGTGGGTGTACGATCCTGTTCTTATGTAACTTCAACTGATTGAACTACCTATAGTAAAAAATACCTGGCAGCATCGGCTCTGCCACACAGTCCGTCGTAGCGCTTGATATGACCAAAACATTTCAGCTTCCGAGAAGGATGCTATTTATTAGTTAACCCATCCTGGCTCATGCCTCGGAACTCTCCTGCTGCTTTTGTGCATTCAAACAGATAAAACGTGATTTGGTTATAATTTGGTTAACTCTTTGAGTCCCAGAGGGTTTAGCATCACAGGCCCAAGGGGTAGTCAAGAGAGACGTAAAATCGGCGCATTATGCGTTCATTGGGCGTCTGGGCAGTAACCTATGAACGTATGATGCGTTCCTTGTGATTCAACGAGTTAATGATGATGGCCACTGGTCAACATCAAGCAGCCAACCCCGCACTACGTAAGACGGCCTTGACCATTTTGACCTGTAGTAAGCCAGCTTCTCACGCCAGCCAACCAACTCGTCGTAAATCCCCCAGTGGCTATGTTCCATAGCGCCGCATATTTTGTTGACTAATCAATTGCCAATGAGTGATGTGGACAGCATCCCTGCAGACATCTTCACATCCTGCAAGATTGCTCGTGACTATTCTAGGCTTTATTCGACCTGGGAGCTAAGATTATGAGAAATACATTCGCCTTAGTTCCTCTTCGAACGCAAGACCTTCAGTTCGACAGAAACATATCTAGCCAGCTATTTATCCTAGCTCCCCAACTGAGTTAGGAACGGACATCACAAAAGTCATGACATTCACATAGACGCGTTGATCGTCTACAGTTATCCAAGAGTTGCACGCCTCCTGAGAAAGTGGTAATTTGATGAAATGTCCGTCTCGTATGTCCTCTGAATCCTCGTGTCTTTGTCCAAGATATTCTAAGAATCTTTCTATAGCATTTTAGCTTTAAAGCCTCTCTTCTCTTTCTTAAGAACTGGGAATGGCAAACCGCTGAACGTAAATTTGCCCAGAAAAAAAAGGAGATACAATTAACTTAATTATATTGCAGCAACCCCATCCACGCCCCGCCACTCCCTCATGGTGTCACTGTGAACTCACGCGGGGATTTCTGTGTGTATCTAAAGGTTAGTTGCGTATCCTTTACAGGACGTTGCAGGACCAACCCCAGCAGCCCTGACTGTTGTGTGGTTTCTCTAGGCAAATTTACGTCCAGTAGTTTGCCATTGCTTCCTGGGCGGTCGGCCCCTGATACCACTGTCGAAACCAACGCAAGGCGCATGGCCCGCCGCAGGGATCGAACCTGGCACCCTGGCATTACGAAGCGTTCGCATCGACTTAGCCACAGAACCGACTCTGTGTGTATACTCACCTAAATACCTGAGTGAGTTCACAAACTCCTGTACGGAAATGTAGCCGTCGCCATCCATATCGAAGTAATTGAACATGCCTTCTACAGGGTAGTCAGAAATCTTCATGTACTTTTTGACCATGCTGATAAATTCAGTGAACTCCAGTTCTCTGTCGCCTGCAAATGTGAGACAGTTATTGAACAAACAATTTTGTGGCGCTTTATATGCAGGGAATATATACAACTTACGTTTTCAGGCCCATAAAGAGAGTGACTTCCGTTCCTATTCATAAATCGCCGTGTCGCATGGCTTGTGCTATGTTTCGGGGGTGTCACGTTACGCTGCATACAGACGTGCTACCTCGACTGCATGCAGTCGTGGGACGTAGGCTGCACTTTTTCATGGGACGTGGGCTACACTGTTTCGTGGGACAAAAGGGGAATGGAGGGGGTGGTTCGGGTTAGGGCCAATTCTGCATGTTTCGTGACTGTTGAAAGCAGTCACATCCCGTAATATAGAACACACGATATCGCCAATCGGTAACAAGTACTAATAAAATGCCCGTGAAGCGTGACACCCCTACAACATAGCGCAAGATATGGGAAGGAAAGTCACTCTTTTTCTAGGCTTGAAAACGTGAGATGAACCATATATATATATAATTGTAACAACTGTCTGTCTTACCATTTTTAGGGCGGTGTAGACAGAAGTTCGTAAGCCTAAGGATTTAGAGTCGCAAGACTAATACAGTCGCCAAGGACTGTTCAGGTTGGTATTCTTAATTTTACACCCGACAAAAAAACCTCATCATCTTACCTGGGGTCGAACCCGGGCCTTCCGCAATAGGGCCTTACGTCGTAACCCCTCAGCCAGCCACTCCTGTATCTCTCTCTCTCTCTCTCTCTCTCTCTCTATATATATATATATATATATATATATATATATATATATATATTTATTTATATATATATATATATATATATATATATATATATATATATATATATATATATATATATATATAGTAAAAATGAAAGACATTTTCCCCACACATTGGGACAATTAGGCATATAGGGCTAGATCTACATTTTATATACAAACTGCCACTCGGTTTAGTCAGCGTCACACCGGCCGTCTTTACTTCCCAGAACTTCTACATGGCACCCATTTAGGCTGCGTCAGCCTGGGAGCCTAGGACATTTTTAGGAGCGGGGGGGGGGGGAGTCAAGCATCGTCCAGATTTGAACTCTAGACCCTCGGATCTGCAGGCAAGCGTCTAGCAACCACATCGTGGTGACTAATATATAGGGTTAGGCACTGAAAACAGTTTTTGAAATACAATACGATGATGATGATGATGATGATGATGATGATAATGATAATGATGATGACGCTATAACTACGCGCTTAAATGTGACGTGAAAGATATCAACATTTACCCAGACACCTAGGAAACACCAACTGCAGATCAACTCCTTTAGAGGCAGACGGTGTAAGACGGACTATACAGACGGTATCATAATACATTCAAGAGATGGTCGCACAGGAGTCTGAGAGAGTGTACATCCACGGCGAAAGATAGAGCATTTTACAGATCTTTTGCAGGCAAGCTTCATTGTTGAGACGATACTTTATTGATGATTTTTCATCTTAACTATATATGGTGTTACCAGCTGTAAACTCCATTTAAAAGTTCTTGTTGTTCTAGACTTTGGTCTTGTTCCAGAATATACGTTTTACAGATCATGTTTATTTATTTGTGTGCAGACTGTTGGTTCGTCGCCTCAAAAAATCCACAGGCTTTTGCATCATAATTCAATACGATATTTGGTCTATTAACTTCCTCCTCTTTTCTTTTGGAGATCGGAACCTACACAGGGCACTGGTTAATTGAATGCTAGAGAACTCTCCATTCTTATTGAATAGTAGATAACTCACTATTCTTTTTGACTGCTAGAGAACTCATCGATCTTACTGAATGCTAGAGAAATCACAATTCTTATTGAATACTAGAGAACTCACCATTCTTTTTTAAATTATAGAGAAATAACCGATCTTATTGAATGCTAGAGAAATCACCATTCTTACTGAATGCTAAAGAATTCGCTATTCTTATTGAATGCTAGAGAACTTACAGTTTTTACCGAATGCCAGAGAACTCACCGTTCTTACTGAATGCTAGAAAACTCATAGTTCTTATTGAATGCTAGAAAACTCACAGTTCTTTCTGAATGCTAGAGAACTCACCATTCTTACTGAATACTAAAGATCTCATTATTTTTATTAAATCCTATATAATTCATCATTCTTATTAAATGCTAAAGATCTCACCGTTCTTAATTAACCCTAGAGAACTCATCGTTCTTACTGAATGCTGAACTCATCGTTCTTAATGAATGCTAGAAAACTTGCTTGTCCTTTATAATGCTAGAGAACTCGCCGTTCCTACCGAATGCTAGAGAGATCACTCTTCTTATTGAATGCTAGAAAACTCACCGTTCTTATCAAACTCGGCCACCAGCAGATTAGCCTGTTCAACTGTGATTGGTAAGCTCAACTCATTGAAAGTTGTAACAATCTCCGTAGTTGTGATTTTGCCATTGCTGTCATGATCGAACAGGTCGAAGATGTTCTTCCTGTCTGGGGACAGTTACTACTGAAATTAAATTCCTTATCTCTTTACTATTCCAGAAAGCAATGACAAACTACTGGATGCAAACTTGCCTAGGAAAGCCACAACAGCCAAAAAATGCTGGAGTTGGTTCTGCAACGTCCTGTAAATGATACGCAACTAACATCTCTTTACTAAGCTTGTTATTGATAGTTAACTATTGGCATGTAAAATATTTATATATTTGCCATCTTAGATAAATTATGTTATGTGTCTTTCAAGTTAGCTAGTTTTTGTTTAAGCTAGTCACTTTAGATAATTTTTTTTGTGTCCACAACGTTTGTTTAACTATTATTACGCGTCTTTGTCGTTAGTTAACTATCGTAATATGTCTTTCTTGCTATTTAACTATTATCACGTGTTTTTCATGTTAATTAACTATCCGTATGTGTCTGTCACGCTATTTAACAATTATTGTGCGTTTTTCAAGTTATTTAACTATCTTTATATGTCTATCTCGTTAGTTAACCAGTTCTTTGCGTCTGTCACGTTATTTGCCTTTGCATCCAAAACGTTAGGTAATTATTGTTGTGTGTCTAACTTACTGGTTAACTGTTATTATGTTTTCAAATACCGGCATGTCTCTGTCTCTATTAGTTTAGTTAATATTTTGATGTGTGTCTAGCGTTAGTTAACTATTTGCTGTCTCTGACATGTCTGTTAAATATTTGAATGTTTCGATCACGTTAGTTAGCGACTGCTATGTGTTAATCAAGTTAGTTAACTGGTATCTACTAAGTCAGTGAACTACTGTAACATATGTATAAATTTAGCAATTTATTTTAATTTTGTTAAACCGATAAACTATTCGCATCATCATCATCATCATCATCAAGTGCCTTGCCAGCTGGTGTAGGCGTCCACGCGTCGCCACAGATCTCGGTCTTTGGTGTTCTGAATCAGTTATGCTGATGATACTCCTCCTTTCCACTGTATTAAGCCATTCGGCATCATTTCTCTTATGCAAGAGACAACTCGGTTTGAGGAAGGGAAAGAGCTGTACAGATGCAACATTTTCTTTAAGGCAGATATGCAAGCAACCTATCAAACATGATAGAAGTTAACATCTTATATTTATAGATCAGGAGAAGGCATTCGACTGAGTCAACAGATGCAAACTATGGAAAATTCTAGAAGATTATGGTATTCCAAGATCAACTGTTGGGTAACATCGGATCTCTTTACCAAGATAGTCAGTGCACGATAAGAGCAACAGAAGAAATGACAGACTGGTTTCCCTTCTCATCAGGTGTCAGACAGGGTTGTGTACTCCCACCATTGCTATTCATTACTTACAAGGATAGATTATCACAGGAGGCAAATACAGACACTGCAGAAATCAATGAACTTCTTTTTGCAGATGATCAATGTCTAATACACCACCAAGAACAGAATTTACAACACCATTTTGACTCTTTACATCAAGCCTCACTAACTGTACAAAATTTGACATGAAAATAAATACCTCAAAAACTTAAGTTATGACCATAGGAAAGAAACACAGTAATGTAAACACAAAGATCAATGACATACAATTAGAACAAGTTCAAGAATTCAAGTACTTAGGATGCATATTTACAGAAGATGGAAGACTTGATAAAGAGATACAGGCTAGAGTTCAAAAAGCCAATGCAGTCAACTACCAACTGGCCCCACTTCTTCGTCATCCAAAGATCTCGTTACCAGCCAAACAACGGATGATCAACAGCATTTTTATCCCTACGTTATGTTATCAGTGCCAAACGTGGACAATGAACAAATCACATATGCAAAAAATAACTACGTGTGAAATGCGATGTCTCCGAAGAGTCACCAACAATACACGAAGAGACAGAGTCACAAACGTCAGCATTAGAGACAAAGTTGTAACAAGAGCATGCATGGAACATATTGAAAGACAGAGAATGAAGTGGTTTGGCCATTTAGTAAAAATGCAACCGGATCAGATTGCCTATAAGGCCTTTTACAGTAGAACATCGGGAAGAAAGGCCAGAGGAAGACCAAGGAAAAAAATGGATAGATGGAGTAGCTGAATACGGCCAAAAGATCCAGAAAACTGTCACTTAAATCACGCGAGAGGCACAAAACAAATATTTTAAACCAGGACACTGGGCTGCAACCCGGTAAAAGTGAAGAGACAATAGATAGACACCAAGCCTGCACAAAGTATGACATGAGACTAAACACCGCGAAAACTGAGGTAGTGAGGATAGGCAGGAAACATAATATCATGAACGTTCATGGCAACGGTGCTACAATCAAACAAGTACGAGAATGCAAATATCTAGGAAGCATAATTACAGAGGATGGCAGACTCGATAGAGATATAGCAGCCAGAGTACATAAGGCAAATGCTGTCACCTACCAGTTAGCCCCACTGCTTAGACACCTAAATGTCTCTCTTCCAGAAAAAACAACAAAGGATTAACAGCATCTTTATCCCTACTCCATGTTATCAGTGCCCATCATGGACAGTGAATAGGAAACTAGAAAATAACTACATGTGAAAAGCACTGTCTCAGCAAGGTCACTAACAACACTAGACGAGACAGGATTACGAACACCAGCATTAGAGAGAAAGTTGAATTATATTGACAGGCAAAGAATGAAAAGGTTCGGGTCATTTAGTGAGAATACAGACCAGACTGTAAATGAGACGTTTTACAGTAGAACATCTGGGAGGAAGGCAAGAGGAAGACCAAGAAAGAGATGAATTCATGGTGAAGCTGAAAACTGCAAAAAAGTTGAACAAATCCATCACTCAAGCCTTCCCAGAAGCGCAAGACAAATAGAGAAAACCACGACACTGGGCTACAACCTGGTAACAGTGAGACGATATAACCACGACACTGGGCTACAACCTGGTAACAGTGAGACAATATAACCACCACACTGGGCTACAACCTGGTAACAGTGAGACGATTTAACCACGACACTGGGCTACAACCTTGTAACAGTGAGACGATATAACCATCACACTGGGCTACAACCTGGTAACAGTGAGACGATATAACCACGACACTGGGCTACAACCTGGTAACAGTGAGACGATTTAACCACGACACTGGGCTACAACCTGGTAACAGTGAGACGATTTAACCACGACACTGGGCTACAACCTGGTAACAGTGAGACGATATAACCACCACACTGGGCTACAACCTGGTAACAGTGAGACGATATAACCACCACACTGGGCTACAACCTGGTAACAGTGAGACGATTTAACCACCACACTGGGCTACAACCTGGTAACAGTGAGACGATTTAACCACGACACTGGGCTACAACCTGGTAACAGTGAGACGATATAACCACGACACTGGGCTACAACCTGGTAACAGTGAGACGATATAACCACGACACTGGGCTACAACCTGGTAACAGTGAGACAGTATAACCACGACACTAACCACAACCTGGTAACACTGAGCGATATAACACGACACTGGGCTACAACCTGGTAACAGTGAGACGATATAACCACGACACTGGGCTACAACCTGGTAACAGTGAGACGATATAACCACGACACTGGGCTACAACCTGGTAACAGTGAGACGATATAACCACGACACTGGGCTACAACCTGGTAACAGTGAGACGATATAACCACGACACTGGGCTACAACCTGGTAACAGTGAGACGATATAACCACGACACTGGGCTACAACCTGGTAACAGTGAGACGATATAACCACGACACTGGGCTACAACCTGGTAACAGTGAGACGATATAACCACGACACTGGGCTACAACCTGGTAACAGTGAGACGATATAACCACGGGCTATGGTATAAACCACGACACTGGGCTACAACCTGGTAACAGTGAGACGATATAACCACGACACTGGGCTACAACCTGGTAACAGTGAGACGATATAACCACGACACTGGGCTACAACCTGGTAACAGTGAGACGATATAACCACGACACTGGGCTACAACCTGGTAACAGTGAGACGATATAACCACGACACTGGGCTACAACCTGGTAACAGTGAGACGATATAACCACGACACTGGGCTACAACCTGGTAACAGTGAGACGATATAACCCACACACTGGGCTACAACCTGGTAACAGTGAGACGATATAACCACCACACTGGGCTACAACCTGGTAACAGTGAGACGATATAACCACCACACTGGGCTACAACCTGGTAACAGTGAGACAATATAACCACCACACTGGGCTACAACCTGGTAACAGTGAGACGATATAACCACGACACTGGGCTACAACCTGGTAACAGTGAGACGATATAACCACGACACTGGGCTACAACCTGGTAACAGTGAGACGATATAACCACGACACTGGGCTACAACCTGGTAACAGTGAGACGATATAACCACGACACTGGGCTACAACCTGGTAACAGTGAGACGATATAACCACGACACTGGGCTACAACCTGGTAAGTCAGACGACAAATGAAGAAGAAACAGATCCACGAGGAAAAGTTGTGCATTCTGTGTGGTTTTCTTTGGCACAGGAACGTAGCAATTATGGGGTGACAGATGCCGTAAATATGAAACTGCCACTGGCTGACTGACTGACTGAATGACTGACTGACTAACTAACTACTAAACTAACTACTAGTTAGCTATCTATTAAACTAACTAACTAAACAAACAAACTAATTAACAAGCTAACTGAACAACTTACTAATTAACTAAATAAACTAAACTAACTTAATAATTAACTAAACTAAACTACCTAACTAACACACCAATACTAACTAAGAAACTAAACTAACTAAACTTTACTTACTTGCTTACTTTCTACTGACTAGGCGTCTGCGTTAGCGCAGTCGATAGGAGACTCGTTTTAAATCCAGCTGAGACTCGCTGCAGTCCACAGCCGGGGTTCACCCAACCTCTAGGTAATGGGTACCAGAGTTAACAATCTGGTGTAAATGGAGGAACGTCGTTGTAGCTACGGAGTTGCGTGCGGACGGCGACACAGGCGGACAGTTTCTTATCAACTGTCTGTACTAGTGGCAGAGAAGTTCTGGTTTATAACAGGGTGCGATGACGTTGGTTTACATCTCTCGACTAACTATCTTACCAGCTAATCAACCAAACTTACTTACTGAATAATTACCTAACTAATCCAGCTAACTAACTAATTTTATAGAGAAGCCTTTAGTCAACAGCAGAATCGCCCAATGAAACTGGTTATATAGGAATTAAAAACTAGAAACTGAACACTAACAGATACGACGCGGTTTTACCCACCCATCAAGGCAACCTGTGAAGAAAGGAATATATTTTGTCATCCAATTTTAATAGCAGAAAAGGCATGATAGGTACTTGTTTTTTTAACCCCAAACAAAGGAAATCCGTAGTTCCTGGGAAAGTCCAATGTTCTAGGAGTGTTAGAGTTAGGGTTACAGTCAGTGTCAGACCGAAAGCAGTAAAGTCAACGACTAACCCAAACCCTAACCTTTACCCCTTAACTCCAATCTTACGACCCCTATAATATTGAACCGTGTCGGAAACTCCGGATTTTCTTTGTTTGTGGTGAATTACAAATAAAGTACCCAAAAATGTCTCCATAATATCTTCTGCACATTTTTGACGTTTGCCGGTTTTACACTCGGGCGGAAAGTTGTGGTTATTCACTCACATCTTGATTTTAGTCTTGTTGCAGAAACAGAGTTTTGCGTGCACATCTGTTTTGCAGGTCTGCCTTATTTTTATGCAGATTGTTTGTTCCTCATCTCTTAGGCAGATGCACTGAGACTTCCAATGAAACATCCCTAACAAGTCGACTCTTATGACAATCCAGTTGGTAGCAGTGGGTCTATGCTTTTTGGCTCCCTACAATAGGGCCTCGAAACGAAAAGGGGAGCCACAATATAAAAAAGTTAGTTGCGTATCCTTTACAGGACGTTGCAGAATTAACCTTACCTTTTTTTTTCCTTGTGTGTGTATGTGTGTGTGTGTGTGGGTGTGGGGGTGTGTTGGTGTGTGTGTGTGGGGTGGGTGTGTGTGTGGGTGTGTGTGTGGGTGTGTGTGTGGTGGGTGTGTGTGGGGGGGGGGTGTTGTGTTCTTGTGTGTGTGGGTGTGTGAGTGTGTTTGTGTGGGTGTGTGTGTGTTTGTGTGTGTGTGTGTGTGTGTGTGTGTGTGTGGGTGTGGGTGTGTGTGTGTGTTTCTGTGGGTTTTTTTTAGGCAAATTAACGTTCACTGGTTTGCCATTGCTACTGGCCGGTCGGCTTCTCGATACCACTGTCGAAACCAACGCAAGGCCCGCAGCTGGGATCCAACCCGGCACCCCGGCATTGCGAAAAGCGTTCGCAACGCCTAAGCCACATTATCATTTTCTTTATTACTATCAGCACTATCATCAATATTTTTGTCATCAAGACGATCCTGTTATGTCGTTATACGTCACACACGGCTCGTAGGCTAATCCTCATAGAACACAGAGAACGCGCAACTGACATGCGAATGCATAGAGGCAGCAAACATGACGATCCGACCTTAGCAAAGAAAAAGAACACAAAGAAGAAGGAGAAATCAGTAAATCAGTAAATAAATCGTAGTTACTTTTGTCTTTTCAATTGCAATTCTCATAATAGTTGCTTTCAATCGCCTATTCACATATGTTAGATTGCCAATGGATGCCCGAATCTGTCAACAAGGCCTGGTCTTATCGATAAGTTTTTCGTTGATCTTGTAGAAGATTATTATGGCCTGGAGAGAATGAGGCACCTGGGTGTAACCAGAGGGTCTGGCCGGCTCACAACACTCAGAGGAAAGCAAGACGGACATATAACCAAATTGTGACGGGTACCATCAGTAGTGGAACTCCGCGCTGGCTGCTGAAGATGATGACGAAGCATATATTGGAATTCCCAGAGTGGTATGATGTCAATTCTTGACTCAACTCAACTCAGCTTGTTAATTTTACTAATATTTTAGTTCCTGACTGACTGACTTTCAACCCCACCAGGACATCACACAAGCGATAAACACCCGATGACACAAAGGGCCACCCTGTGGGCGAGGATCACCGTAGAGAGGTCCCAGAAACCTCGTTCAGCCCCTAAGGCCATATCTATAGCCAGGCTATAATCCGGCCCCTGGCACAAGCCAGAGTATGACTTCAAATAACGAAAAAGGTCATCCCAAAAAAAAGACGAGAAGTGTATGATTTCATTCCTGGACTTGGCATTCTTGCATACACCGTGGATGCAGATGATTAAAAAAACTGGTGATGACATCTCGCATCAAACGCCTTCACTAAAAAGAAAGAGAGGGCTTCAGTGTTTCATGTTAAACATCGCAGAGATTTTTTCACGTGGACTTGGACTTCGTTTTCTAACTCCCCCTGGTCTATGGGTAGTGAGATCGGACGCCCGTGTGCATTGCTGCGCACGTAAACAATATGCCACGGCAGTTTGAAATCGAAAAGAGTAGCTTAACGGTGCTGCCCAGGGAAAAATTTGGAGTTGAAATCTTCCCAAAGTATTTTAGGATCCTCGCTGGTGCTACAGAACCTGTGCACTGTGCAGAGCTTCTTCGGACTCAGATTTGAGTTAGAAAAAGAACGGAGCACTTATGTGTGCACTTTCTTTGTGTGTGTATGTGTGGGTGTGTGTGTGTGGTGTGTGTGGTGTGTGGGTGTGTGGGTGTGTGGCCATGATGTTGAACCGTTGTTGAAAACCTCAAAACCACGTTAAACGTTTAATTAGGAATCGACATCACAGCACTCGAGGCATTCACATAAGTGCTCCAGCTCCACTTTCAATAGCCCAAGTAACAGTTTTTGTATCCGTGCCCACTTTATACTGAGTGTTGAGCGTAGGCCAGATGACTAAGTCACTTCTCGCATTCTTCACACATTCATTGGCACCTTTCCGTCTTTCTAGACGATAGTTTTATATTGCGCTATGAGGAGGCATGAGACTCACAGCCCATAGCGATAGCGAGTGTGACTAGCAAGACCCGCCCGTGTCAAGAAAAGTCTTCCACAATGATAGCATGGGATTTGAGGACCATTGTTGGCAATATTTGTGTTCAATTCGTTTCTTTTCAGGCGCTCAGCTCTCATCCTTTCTGCAATCATTTCTTCCTTCAGTCTCATTCCCTTCCATTCTTCCAACAGTAATGATCTTTTTGCGCCTCCGTAGTGGTCGCTTTCTCCAAAAGGACCCTATCATCATCTAGCTTGTATGTATAAATTCACCACTAAGTGGTGCAGAACCGCCCAGTATATGTGCATGTTCGTTTCCCAGCACACAAGCGCTAGATAAATAAAAGAGAATAATATAAAAGAAACTATCTCACCGGCGGCTCAGGTCTGTGTGGTCTGCATGAATTGCAACCCAGTGTGTAACTTGAGTTTTGCTTTCAAGAATCAAAACAAAACAAAAGGCATCATTTGATTTTGTGTTACGATCAGTATCATCAATGTACGAAAATAAACGCGGTGCTGAACGCAGACAAAACACACGCTTGAGATGTGCAAACAAACAACCTTTCCTGTACAAATTCATACATCATCACTATCATCACCAACTTCCACTTCTTCGTTGAAGGATCGTGGGAAGGATAGGTGACAGGATTTCTTGTCAGAAATGGAGGATAGGCATGACAGAATGTTAAGCTTCGAAATTATTACTGCTTCCAGTAGCACTTTACTAATGCAGTTTCCGCATATGGGCAGGAGTCCACGGTTTTGATTCCTGAGCTACTGGGTTGAATGCAGAATGCTAAATTAGGAATCGGCATTGCAGCACTCGTTACACCCTTATAAGCGCACCGTCCCCATCTTCAGCAGCATGCGAATATTTACAATTCGGATGGTACCAGTAACTGTCTGATTGTACATCCGTCTCGCCTTTTCCCTGATTGCCGAGTGTCGGCCAAATTCCATTGTAACTCTTTGCAGTGCATTTCTCCTCAGACCGTAATGATCTATCTGTGCCTCGGCATTGTTCACTGGCTCCCAAATGGCCCTCACAACATCCAGCTTGTCATACATCAGTTCACCACCAAATGGTGCAAAATCGGCTAGTCTATCTGCCTGCTTATTTCCCAACACACCAGCATTCCCAGAGAAAATATCTAAAGGATGCTAACTACCCGGGACCTTTAAAGTGATACTTGCTAATGATTTTAGTGCTTTAGCTGTGTTTTTAATGTGAAATGCCTTTCATTTGTACAACGGTTGTGTCGTGCTATTCAAAATGGCCGGTAGCCGGTCTACGTGTGAGCTATTGAAATAACTTATGCAATAATTCTACTTGTGTATTGCCAGCTTATTGTGCCTGACTACTTCCATCAACGACAAACTGCATTTCTGGTGGCGACTGTTGGCTTTGGCACCTCTCATCATCCTCATGTGCCCTGCCGACTGGCGTAGGCGCTCATGAGTCTCCACAGATCACAATCCTTGGTTGACTTGAGCAGCTCTTTTGATGATATTCCTCCATGCCATCGTTTTAGCCCATCCAGCATCATTTCTCTTGGTCTGCCTCTATCCCCCTTTTCCACTGATCTTTCCAGTTGTCATGATGTTCTCCTATGTCTCTCTTCTTATTATGTGGCCAAAGAAAAGTGTTTGTATCTTTCTTATTGTAGTTTATAGAGATTTACTTTTATTAGCTTCTTTCAAACAATCATTGTTAGTTGCTCTGGCCGTCCAAGGTATTCGTAACATTCGTCTCAGAAACCACATCTCTGATTCTTTCAAATTCTTCTTAATTTGTTTAATGACATTCCAAGATTCGCTGCAATACAGCAGAACATCTTCTATGTAACATTTAAGCAACCTCTTTTTGACATTAAATGAGAGCGATTTATTGCATAAGATATTTTTCATTTTCTGAAATGCAGCTTTCGCTTGACCTATTCGGTTTTTAATCTCTGTCACATATTTTCCATCTGATGATATTATTGTTTATTGTTAGCGCCTCTAGCAATAGCAATTTACATTTACATCGAGCGAATTTCTATGGATTATTCTGGGACTATTTGTTTGTTTACCGTTTTACCAAAAAGGAGTCTTTTTCTTCTTCTTCTACTTCGATCCTTCTGTCAGAAAACTTATATCAGGAGGCCGGTAGCCTTTATGAAAGCTATCGTGCAATCCATATCCTCTCGTGTACCATACAGTTTTGCCTTCATTGTGCTTGGAATAGGCCAGATTGCGTCTCTGTTGTCAGCATACAGTTGACAGTGTTGGAGCACATGCTCAGCATTTTCGGGTGCCACGCTGCAGGGACACGTCTCCATATTTCCTTCACCGAAAAAAATAAGACAGTGAAGGAAAGTTCATTTGAAAGGAAGAGAGCAAGTGTGG